CAGGGCGTTGACTTCAGCGCCGCCGAAACCTCTCTCTCTTGGGACCGGACCGGAACACCCCGAGGACCGACCGCGAAGCAGGAGCAGCGGGAGGCGGTCTGTGGGCGCGGCGGGGCGGGGCGGGGCGGGGCAGCTGTGAGAGACACGCCCAGCGGACCAGAGCAGGTTGTCGCTAACTCGCGGGGGGGCTTTAGCGCAGCGGCGCGGGAGAAGGGAACAGTGGAGTGGGGCGGGGAAGCAGGACCCGCACCCGCCAAGCTGCAGCCGTTACGTAAAGCTCTCGGCCGCGAGACACATCAGTTTTGTATGAGAAATGGCATTTCGACCGGCGGCCTCGCCCCGCCCCGCCCCGGGCTCCATTCTCTACGATTCCGTACTAGTACCCTTCTACTGCCGCCGCCGCCACCGCCACCGCTGCTTGTGCTGCTCGCCCACAGTTCGGCTTTGGGTTTTCTCTCTGTTCCCAGCCGCCCAGCTCAGTCGCGCTCGACGTGATCCTGGCCCCGCCGGTTATCCGACCCGACTGTTCACCGCAACGGCGGCGTGCCTTGGAAACAACCTCCATCGGCACGTCGGGAAGCTGAGCAGCGCAGGGCGGGGCACCCATCCCCCAGCACTGTTAACGCCGTGGTCGCCAAGCTTGCCAAAATTTTGACAGTCCTTTTTGATTGCCAAATTTTGGCCTCCTTTTGAAAGAAGGCCAACTTTTGACAAGCAAGTGGGCCAAAAATGGGCAGCCTCCAAAAAGACGACCAAAATTTGGCAAGCAAGGAGGCCAAAAATTATAGGCAGCCTCCAAAAAGACGACCAAAATTTAACAAGAAAAAACGCAAAAAATTGACTGCCTGCAAAAAGACGACCAAAATTTGGCAAGCAAAAAGGACTGCCAACATTTTGGCGAGCTAGGCAACCACGGCGTTAACAGTGAGCGCGTTATCATCGTCTGCATAACGACGTAAGACGATACCCTCGGTTCACGTCCGTCCACGCGAGTGCAGAACGGGGGGTGGGGAATGTGCCACAACGAATCCCATTCGAGTGCCACGCACTCCACTCGAGTTCCACGCCGGGGGTGTGCCGCACGAGTCGCATTCGCGTGCCGCGCACTCGTGAGGCGTAAAGGCGCCGCGCGTGCGCCCCCCGCATTCAATTGACATTGTCCCTCGGGTGGCCTCCGTTTCCCACGCCCACGACAGCATACGCACATAATACATCATGCGCCGGGCTGCCCAAACACGGGCGCGCACGCACACACACACTCGCCCCCCCCCCCCACACACACATGAAAGGAATCGGATCCTGCGATCCTGCAGCCCTGGCCGCCGCCCAGACTGCGCGCGCGTGAGAGTCCCTGCTGGGTCCGGGATCAGGCGGCCAGAGGAGGGCCGGGCCGGACACGCCCGCGCCGAAAAATCACTCGGAACAGACTCCGAATGGAACAGGCTCCTCCGGGGCCCGGGCGGGGAGGAAAGGGAGGGTCAGAGGGAGGGAGAAGGAGGGAGAGGTAGACAGATAGACGCGCCGTCCGGCCGGCGTCCACGCGACGCGCGAGGCTATCTTTCGGGCCCATCATGAGAAAATGCAAACGCAAACGCACCTTCCTCCTCCTCTCTTCTTATGGAAGGCGATAAGGAGAGAGGCGAACACAGAACAGAGGGGGCGATGCGTCGCGTCGCGGCCGATCTAAAGTTATTCATCTAGTGAAAGGGGGAGTGTGAAAACTGCACACTTTTGCGCCGTATAATGCCGCCCACGCTCACTTTCAGGCGCACTCGTGTTTTCATATGAACGCCGTTCGACGCCGTTTGTTTTGATGATGATGATGCTTTGATGATGTTTCTTCGATAGTGTTTTGATGAAGGTGTAATGATGTACTGACTGATGATGAAGATTTTCAAAACGTATTGACGATTTTATTGTTTTGATGATGATAATGGTATTTTTTTAAAATAAAAATGTTAGCGACCTCTTTAATTTTTTCGAAAAATTGGCGCGAAACGCGAGAAACGAGTCGTCAGTCCGGAGAAGACGGATCCGCCCGATCTCGTTCTGTCGTTCGCGGACTCCAGACACCAGTCCATTGCTTTCCCCGCTCATGGACGCTGGAGGAAGACGCAACGCTCCGAGGACGATCCGGTCCGGTCCGACTCCCTCGCGATTGAGTCTCGGGATCAAAAATGCACACAGCGGGCAGAGGAAGGGGAACCTCTTCCGCAGCCCGCAGCCTTCTGCCTGACCGGAAGGAAGTAAGTAAAACGGAGCACCACTTGGGCACGCGCATTGTGATGAGTGTCACGGGACAGGTGCGGCGCCGGAACCACGGCGTCGACACGACAATAAGCTCGCCGCAAGTCAACAAGTGCCTGGCCACGGTGCTGGCCGGCGCCCAGCCCCACCCCGCCCCGGGGGCCCGGGGGCCAGCCACACAAGCGCCGCCAAACCGCCAGCAACAGTGAGAGAAACTGCTCCGCGCGGGGAGGGCGGGACGGGCCTGGGCGCTCCCATCGTGAGATATAAGTTATATGCCTTTGGTGCGAGGCTGCCATAGCTGCCGCCGGCCACGCCAGATCCGACCGTTGCGTCACTCGGATCTGCGGCGGCGGCGTCCGAGTGAGTTATTTCTGCCCGCACAGCGCACCCTCTCTGTTGTAGCGTATTGTACAACGTAAACACCACACACACGGAAAATAATAATTAGCTGCATAGCCAGCTAAACCAGCAGCTAGTTATTACTACTTATTTAGCTTTTAAATTAAACATTTATAGACATTTTTTAAAGCTAAATTTTTAACTTCTCAGCTAAACTGTTGGCTAGATTGCTACTATTTTCTGACAGCTCAATTTTAAGCTACATAGCTGAATAATTAGCTATCTGCCATAGTAGCTACTCTGATAAACCAAGTGTACAACTGCTCAACACTTGTAAGTGTGCAACCACAAGTTCAATACTTGCAAGTGTACTACAACTGAATTGAACACTTGCAAGTATTGAACTTGCGGTTGCACACTTACAAGTGTTGAGCAGTTGAACACTTGGTTTATCAGTGTACATATAGCTCATCGTTTTTCCGTGCATATCTGCCGATCACCCAACCATAACACACGCGGCTGCATTGTTCTCCTCTTCATTTGTTTCGATCCGTTTTCTCGCAAGAATTTTGGACTGCACGCTAAATGGTGAGGGACAATTTTTGTACGTAGGCTAGATGTGTCTTTGTGCACATATAAACCAGGTACAAATTTTTATCTACGTTACATACAAAAAATACACCATATGTACCTTGCCTAGTTACAATTTGTTGCTCCGTAAAGACAAATTTGTATCTAGGAGAATGTGCTCAAAGGCACATCTAGCCTAGGTACAAAAATTGTACCTCGCCACGTAGAGAATGTGCAAACAGCAGGATCACGCTGCGAATTCTTGCGGACTACACGAGGTTCTTCGGGTTCTCCGGGCGGGCAGAGGGGGATGCGATGCGACGACGTACCCCGCGGCGCTCGCGCTCCTCCCCCGCCACACCGACCGAGCCGTGAAGTAACCGAAACTCGAATTACATTGCAGATCAGACCTCCCTGTAGCGCGGCGTACCCCCCGCTGAAGGAGGAAAAAATAGAAAGGATTTGCCAACTTAGCGTTTCATTTTTTTGTTCCACCTCCCAATGAGACGGACAGCTAGGCGTAGAGAGAGGGAATGGAGCGAAGGGGGAACACCACGCCGGGGCACATCAACGACGTGACGGGCGGTGCCGATCGCGTTACGAAATGTATCGACCGATCCGATCGATCGATCGACCGACGCATCGCTTCCCGCGCGCACGTGCACAGACCATGTAACGTGGGGAGACGGGGGCGAAAAAAAGTTAACCGGGGCGTAATAACAAGCAGAACGTCGAGGAAGTGGCTCACTCACGGCGTGACAGCGCACGGCGAGTGCATCGGGACCGTCTCGCTCCCCCGCCTGCCATCCGGGCCGGGGGAGGAGGAGGGGGTTCGGCGGCGGAGACTGGCGCCTGTCGACGGCCAGATAGGCAACCCGCGTGCGCGGGTGTCTACGGCCCGGTGGAGGTTGCCTATCCATCCACGCAGGCGGTTGAAGTAGCTGCGGAGCGCCTGTCGACGGCCGGGTAGGCAACCCGCGCGCACGGGTGTCTGAAGCCCGGCCGAAGTTGCCTACCGTCGCAGGCGGCTGAGGCGACCCGTATAAACGCCTGTCGACGGTCGGGTAGGCAACCCACGAGCACGGGTGTCTGCAGCCCGGCCGAAGTTGCCTACCCTCAAAGGCGGCCAGTCGCGCGCACCGGACCGAAAAGTCCATCAAACAAGTAATTCTTCTCTAAACAAGAGGCTAACCATTTCAAGTACAACCTAGCAAATTACTGACCTTGTGCAAACGATACTGTTCCACATTTTAGTAATAACTTGCAAGATGGTCACAGTCCTTTGTCAGTGTGTCAGACGACGCAGACGTTCAAGAGAGCCTAACAAAAAATCCGAACTAGAATCTCTTCAATGCTACTGGGAATGACTAGCTCGAATTAGTCACTGAACAATAAATTGTGTTATACTTCAGGAAATAAAAAATTAAAATAACATAATGATGTGTTTTTGAAATGGCAAGTATTCTTACCAGCAGGACTAGGTGTATTATCGCACCGGCCGGAACGGCTTTAAATCATCCGAGTGCTGTCGGGCCTCACCCCGCCCCGCCCTCCACACATGAGCGGGTCCGCCGGGCAGGGCCGAACCGCGCCAAGCCACTCAGAAAGAACACCGCGTGTGCAGAGAAAGGCTTTTCTCTTTTTACGAGAGTATCGACGACTGCAGCGCGCGCGCTGATGTGCTGTGCGGGCAGGCGGACGGGCGGGCGGCCGGGGGGCGGCGGACCGGCGGGCACGTCTTGAGGTAGGCCCTAGGCCCCGCCCCGCCGCTGCCGCACCCTACCCCACCCCACCCCGCGGGTGGCTGCGCGCCGCTCCGCTCGAGCCCGGGCGGCGAGTAGCAGGCCGACCGGTGCCCGCGCAAGACGTCTCTCTGCCCACGAGCCGCCGGTGCGGCGCCGAACACGCGCGCGAGGAGGATACACGCGCCGCGCGAGGTGCACGTCAACGAGAGTGTCGCGGTGGTCGAGTGCACACAAGAGTGTGTGAGTGTGTGTGTGTGTTTGTGACCGTGTGTTATTGTGATTTGTGCGAAAGAGAAGTTGTTGCAGTGTTTTTATTTTGGTGTGCGGTGCCTTTTTGGAGAAGTGACCACTCGATGGAGAATACCCTCGTGCTCAAAGGATAGCGAGACCCCTGCCGGATGTTAACTCGGGACCAGTGACTGCGGCAGTGACAGAGGTAATGCTAAGGCCATTCACGCCGCGTGCAAACTGTTTGTTTTGTAAAAGTGATTCGACAAACTTGTGAATGTTGGAAACTCGTTTCTCGGGAGACTTGCATGCGCGCGGGGGTGACATACGCGCGGCAGAAACGTCCGAGTGACGGACGGTCAGCAGCGACCTTCGGCCTGCATAAACAAGCATGTCATACGGTACGAAGTGGGGCCATTAGCGTCCCGTGCGGGGGCGGCCGAAAAGCTTTACTTACAACATCGCAACGGGAACCAGAAAGTTGTTGTATTCTACCCTGGGCCGTCGTCGCGCAGTCGATACGGCGCGAGCGACAGGCAGACAGCGATGTCGCCGGCCGCATTGTGTCGTGACACGCAGATTAGACAAATACTGTAATAACAGTGTTATTACTTGGAGTCGATGGACGGTGAAAGTGCAACCCGGCTGAGCGCTGTTGTTGTTGTTGTTAAGACACGCGGTGGACAATTATCTCAGGCACCCCGCAATATACGGAAAAAAATAACGGTATAATAGTAAGTTTTACAGTATTTGAGTAGTAAAAGTCAGATATGATCAGCGGGGAAAAGGACTATGACCTTATGACCATGACATTGTCAGAAAGGCGGTTATAAAAAACATTTTCGACTTGCATTGAAAACATTGTGAGTGGATTTATTTAAGAAGGACAGCTCGTGCCTACGACCTCGTCCGATTTGGCTGATATTTGGTGGAC